GGAAAGTAAACAACAAAAGACTCCATCTCTGCTCTGGGAAAACAACTGATGTCTCCTTAAAAAAACAACAACAAAAAACTCTTGTATTTGACTCTATTCTTTGACCACAGGCTCAAATTTGATGCCCCCTGATCTCAGAAGCATTGCATGGAAGAGGTCATGGTCAATACCTGCATTCCTCTCTTTTAAATCTTATCAACACCTGGGTTTCTAGAAATGATAGATTTTTTTGACCATCCTTATCTTCAAGGGTTACCAAGAAAGAACAAAAAATACATTTCCCTGCCCCCAAAGCACCAGGAGACACTTCCCTGCCAGTGACCCCAGAGCCTCCTCTGCCCTAATCATTTGAGTACCCCGTGTGGTCTGACAGGAACTCACACGGGTCCTAGGATTCCTTACACAATTAGCCCACTTCCTAAAACCCAGGTGATGGTGGTGGTGGAGGTGTCCCTGGAGGCCATAGTCTTGGTCCTGAAGTCATCAGCCATGTGTCCAGTCAGACCAGTGATGGCGAACCTTTGGAGCTCGGCGTGTCAGCATTTTGAAAAACCCTAACTTAACTCTGGTGCCGTGTCACATATAGAAATTTTTTGATATTTGCAACCATAGTAAAACAAAGACTTATATTTTTGATATTTGTTTTATATATTTAAATGCCATTTAACAAAGAAAAATCAACCAAAACAATGAGTTCGCGTGTCACCTCTGACACGCGTGTCATAGGTTCGCCATCACTGGGTTAGACCAATGCAAACATGTAGATGGGAAACCCCTTTGGAAGTAGCAAAAGCTTTCTCCCCTCTCGTACAGAGTGGTGGGAATGCATAAAGGTTTAACCACTTTGGGTAAAAGTCTGGCAGATTCTTAAAATTAAACAAATACCTATTCACCTATTCTATTGCTCAGTAATCCCTAGGTGTTCAGGAGAAATTAAAACATGTCCACAAAAGGACGTATACGAGAATGTTCATAACAGCTTTATTATTAGAGCAAAAACTGGGACCATCCAGGTATCTGTCAATAGGGTGGATCAACTGTGATATATTCATTCTATGGAAAGCAAAAAGAGAACAATGAAAAAGAAACAAAGTCATACACAAAAGAGTATATATCCTTTAATTCCAGTGATAGAAGTCCTGGGGTTTAAGATTAATCTATGATGGAAAAAGTCAGAGCAGCACTTGCCCATGGAGGAAGGAATTGATTGGGAACGGGCATGAGGAACTTTCTAGAGTGGTGGAGAGGTTCTATATCTTTCCAGGGGTTTGGTTGGCATGTTAATATGCACTTGTCAAAACTCTGCAGACGTATGCTAGACATGTGTGCATTGTGTGGTAAATTTTACCTCAAAAATTTTTTTTAAATCTGCAAGTAAATATTCAACTTTAGTAAAAGATATGTATGATGAAGTATTTAGAGGAAAGAGTACTGATGTCTCCGATCTACTTTGACATGCACGTAAGCCCTGCCGTGGTGGCTCAGTGGTTGAGTGTCAACCTGTGAATCAGGAGGTCGAGGTTCGATTTCCAGTCGGGGCACATGACCGGGCTGGAGGCTCGATCCCCAGTGTGGGTCGTGCAGGAGGCAGCTGATCAATGATTCTTTCTCATCACTGATGTTTATATCTTTCCCTTCCTCTCTGAAATCAATTTTTTTTAAAAAAAATGTATTTTTAAAAAACAACAACAACATGGGTTGGTAGATGATTGGGAGTTAGTTAATGTACCAATATATGGTATAGCAAGAACAGTAAAATGCTCATGATGGACTCTAAGTGATGGGTGTACAGGTAAAAGTATGCCACCTTAGTAACGCCTTTCTACTTTGTTTTGTGTTTGAAAATGCGTGTGACAATGCAGCACTTCAAGTCTTTGGAGATCCTACAGGAGGGATACTGCCTTCTCCGTCATGTCAGCCACACTGAGATTGGCCACGTTCATTCGAACTCCACTTCCCCCCACCCCAGAATATATTGTAAAAGCGTCCATTTTTTAAAAAAAATCTGATATGTGTTAAGTTCTTACTATGTACCAAGCACAGTGCAAAACTCTTTGCACTCATGATCTCATTTAATATTCAAAACGTTCCTATGGTAGATGTACAATTCATAGCTGAGTAAGAAAATAGAGTATTTTGGGGGCTCAGTATCTACTGCCAGCCCCCCAGCTAGTAAGTGGCAGAACCTGGTGAGAACCCGGGTCTCTGATGCCAAAGGCCAGACACCAACAACGATGCTCGCGCCTCCCTCCAAATCCATTATCTGAGTTAGAAATGCCTCAGAAATTATCCGCTCCGCTGCCATTGCTTTAGAGACAGTAATGAGGCCCGGAAAGGAAGAGTGATCCTCCCACGTATGAATCCTCTTCTGTTTAAGGCCTGGGCCGTTTTCTCCGGGGAGTTGTTAATCCCATACTCTGTGATCAGTGGCAGCACCGGCAAGGAATGTCTTACATTTTGAATGAACAGGAAAGTGGTAAAAGACTGGCCGCACCAAGTGACGCCAGGGTGTGGAGCATTCATTGCTGCTGAGAGTGTAAAATGGTTCCAATGCGCCGGAAAACTGCCCCTTTCAAACCAACTCAAATATCCACGCACCCCACGACCCAGCCACCCCACTCCTCGTCGTGGAATGAGAACAATGTCCACCAGCGACTAAGAATGTCCATTGCAGCTTTAGTCAGAAGCTGGAAATAGCCACCCTGACCATCAACCAAGAATGAGCAACCATATAACAGTCTGTGCTACTACATTCACGCAGCCAAATGCTACTCAGCGTGAGCAAAGCACAAGTTACTAATACAGGCGACATGTGGAAGCGTCACAAAAACCTTACGTCAAGTGTAAAAAAAAGCCAGACAGAGTACATGTTACATGCTTTCATTCACGTGAAGTTTCTTTAAAAGGCATAATGAATCTATGGTGCTCAGAGTCAGAATAGGTGTTGTCTTGGTGGGGGATTGACTGGCAAGGGGCAGGAGAAAAATTTCTGGCATGATGAGAATGTTCTATATCTTTATCTTGGTTGTTGTTACACAGGTGTATGAAATTGTCAAAATCCTTCCAGCTTCATGTTTAAAGTGTGTGCATTTTATGCAATGTAAATGATACCTCATAAAATAATATCATAAAAAAATCTTTTTTTACATGCAAAACAAGACAAATGAAACAAGGAATTTGGCAACAAGGAGAACTACATTTCACCTAGTAATTTTGAAGATGTGATATGGTAAGCCCCCTTCCCCTCACCCCACAAGAGAAACAAGTGGATAATAGTAGAGTGGAAATAAAATTAAGTGACTGAAAGAGTGAGGGAAGGAAGGAAGGGAAGGAGGCAGGCAGGGAGGGAGGAGGCTGGTCACGTACAGACTTTTCACTTGACCTCTCTGTGGCATAACTTCCATTGCCACCTCTTAAGCGAATCAGCTGATACCTTCGAGCTGCTAGAGCTCTCCCCACAGCAGATAACAGGTGGTCCAGGAGAGATGGAGAAGGGGAGGTGGAGGAGGGAGCTTGCTTTCTGCCACCTGTCCCTGCATCGGGGCCGAGTGAGCGGGCATAGACTCCAGCTCTTCCCTGACTGTAAGTTAATGAACATCCTCAGTGAATGACTCATTTCCTCTCTGCTGATAGGATTGGTTCCAGTATCACCAGATGCTACAGGGCTTGCTTGCAGAAGTGCTCCTGATCAATATCCTTGTCAAATACGAAAGGATGAAGTCCAAGACTGTAAAAATGTGCACCGTAGGGGGGGATGAGGAGGAATTCTTCCATAGTGTTTGCTTAAACAACGAGTAGTTCATGCTGTTTTCTTAGGGTTAAGACATTTCTAAAAGTTCAAGGCTCACCCTCTCATTATGCAGTCCTTTTAGACTTTCCCCGGGTCCCTCTACCAGACTTCACTTCCCACGTTCTCCTGAAGCACTTTCCTCTCATCTTTTTCACACTGTCCGTTCCATTAGGTGATGCACACCCCAGGCCCCCGCCTGGCTGAGGCGCTTTTTTCATGCCAATCTAATATAAAAAAATAACTGAGCCTTCGAAAACCTTCCCACAGGCACCAGCAGGAAAGTAGGAACTGCTCATTAGTTACAAGGAGGATCAAGTGACTCGCTGCTACACCGACGCTGGAGGCGACTTGTCCTTGACCTCAAAGGATGGAGCTGTGAGAAGCTCCAGGACTGGACTCATGCAGCTCCCTGGTCGTCTGGAGAGGAAGGCGAAGGGACAGTCGCCCAAGCTTCCGTCAGGAAGCCCGAGTCAGAAAGCAAGCCTCCTGCAGGTGCGACAAAGACTCTTAGTGAAGTATAGCCTGGGCGTCAGCTTGGCGAGCTAATGAAATTGAACTGAAATCCAAGTGCTACATCTCCCCTTCTCCAATCCCCCCCCCCAATTCCTTCGAGTTCTCCGCATTCACTTCTTCAACATGGCCCTCTGTCTCTAGGCTCCCTCGAGAATAGGAACAAACTCTCTTTTGTTTCACATGTATCTGTTTCTACAAAAATGCCGGCTCGCGTCTCCTTGCTCTGTCCTGTCCAAGGTGGTAGCCACCAGCCACGTGCAGCGCCAGGGAGCACCAGCCCCGTGGGAACCTGAGAGCAGGGATCGGTCTGCGCCTGCGTGAAGAAACAGGCTCTAACCCCGGCAGCAACCCGGAGCCCTTCTCTGTCGGTGTGGCTCCCCAGGCAGCAAGCTCCCTCCCTCTCTCTCTATCTCTCACCCAGTTTTTAGTAAGCCTCTTCCCTTTTGAATCTGTGTGGAATGCTCTCGTCATTTCTTTTTTTAAAAATATATATATATATTTTTTATTTTAGAGAGAGAGGGAGAGAGAAACATTAATGAGGAGAGAGAGTCATTGATTGGCTGCCTCCCACACGCCCCACACTGGGAATGGAGCCCACAACCCGGGCATGTGCCCTGACCGGGAATCGAACCGTGACCTCCTGGTTCACAGGTCAATGCTCAACCACTGAGTCACGTGGGTCGGGCTGCTCTCTTGATTTCTACCCTGAAAGGGAGCAAGAATCCATCGGTGACACGAGGAATTGTGCAACGTGGAAGGTTTTTATAGGAAACCGGACAAGAAAGTTATTAGCAAAAGGGAAGAAAGGATTGTTCCAGGTAAGGTCGCCTCTCTTGGGAGGAAGGGCGTGGCAGGGGTCTCATAGGCACAGGACCTAGTCGCTGATCAGGACATTCCAGCTTCAAGTCTCCACTCCTGAGAGGAGCAGGTGCTGCAGCTGAGTCTTGCTTTGCTGTCCTGGGCCAAGTGGCCCCACCTGGGTCCTTGGTTCTTCTCTCTCTCTCTCTCTCTCTCTCTCTCTCTCTCACTGAATGTTTGTGGAACCATCTCAAGGGCTCATATTTGATTTTCCATCAGAAAATTCACTCTGTTGTCCACCTTTTGAACCGCCCTCCTCTTCCCAGACAGGTATCGCCGCCTGTGGAGACGCATCAGTTAAGTGTTTGCACTCGCAGGCGTCTTTCCCAGGAGCCAAGTAGCATCACCACGTGGAGGAAGGTAAGGTGCTTCACCTGGGCGTAGAGCATGATTCTGCCAAGGGAGGAAATAAACCACTTCTCTTTCCCAAAGGTGACTGTCTTCTCAATAATAACAATACGCCTGGCTGGCATGGCTCGGTGATTGAGCATCGACCTATGAATCAGGAGGTCACAGTTTGATTCCTGGTCAGGGCACATGCCCGGGTTGCGGCTTGATCCCCAGTGGGGACATGCAGGAGGCAGCCGATCAATGATTTTCTCTCATCATTATGTGTCTATCTCTCCCTCTTCCTTCCTCCCTCTGATATCAATAAAACCATATATTTTTTAAAGGTTATGTGCTCTTTTTGAGGGTAGTTAGCTTATTTCAAAGATGTGTTAAACTAGATGCACACCACCGAAATAATAAAAGCTTATAGGAAAATACTACGAACAAAATCAAATCAGTAATCAAGAAACTCCCAACAAACATCCCTCTCCCCCCAAAGAAAGATAATTTAAGGTTTTCTGAGTTCCATTTTTATTTCCCCGATGCAGTGCCATTCCGATTCTTGTTGCTGGTTTGTGGTTTTAGGATTCTCTTTTTCTAAATTTCATGTATGGTGTGTCTACATGTAGAAGATACTTTAATAATTCTACTCAGTCGTCAGTGGGCCTTTTCAATTCAGATGTCTCTCCAGTGACCTTGGTCTTGCATCCCACACTTTTCTGTGGGTTCAATCAAGGCCCACCTCTGGCACTAACTAGTGGGGAGTCAGGGAAGAACTCTTAAAGTCTTAGGAGCATCTACTTCTGTCCAATCTCCTCTTTCCTCTCTCGTCTCAAGACTTAAAATCTTTATCTAGTGGCGTGGAGCTAGCAGAGCGAGGGGGAGGACAGGGAAGATTTACCTAATCACATGTTTTGTCAAAGCTTTCCTCTCTTACACCTGGACCGGTGCTTTGAACTGAAAAGCCTGGGAGTTCATATCACTGTTCCCTACTGTGCTATGAAGCAATGGCAATGCCCATTCAGCTGCCCAAAGGGGAAGGGGCTTGTGTTTAACAGGAAGTGTAAAGAATATAACTCATCGGGTACTACCAACCACACACAGTTAGTGAGGAAACTGAGCCTTCAGAGATTGGGGAGCATGCCCAGTGGTGCACGGTGAGTGGGCAACCGAATGAGGACCTGACCCAGGACCCATGGGAAGCAACCCTGGTGATATTTCTTCAGAGCATCGTCAGAATGGCAGAGGGGCGGGGTTGGCGCTTCAGAGAGAAAGCCTGCACGTCCTCCTCAAGCTCACCACGTGGGGACATAGCCTATATCCTGCCCCGATGGCAAATCCTTTCTGTGAGGCTACAAACATCACGAGTCCCCAGAGCTGAAGTGGGGCATCTTTACAGAAAAGAAGGGGAAATACAGCAAAGGGATGAAAAGAGAGACCAAAGAAAAAGTAAGAATGGAGAGGAAGATGGGCTATCACTGATGACAGGATTTTGCCAGTTGAGAGAACGTGGGCTGTAAAGAACAGATTCTGTGTGCAGACAGGGAGAGGTTTCCCTTCTGTTTGCTGAAAACACAGCTTACAGCCTTTGTCAAGCCATCCCTCAGACCGTGCGGATAAGACTTTTATGGATGGATTATTTGTAAACAATGTTATTGCTCTATGATTAAAACAACGGTCATATAATTCCTGAGGGAAGAAGATATAAGAGCTGCAGAAACTGCCTGGGGTCTCTCAGAAGGCTGAAGAAGGCGGTCCTCAGAGCCTTGCATGCCAACCAGGTAACCCTCCTGCTCTCCGCCAGCTACTCACTGGGCAGAAACGATAAGTTACAGCTCTAATGGTGTTGGGCATGCTTCTGGCTGTTTTGTTTGATATATGAATGACTTATTTTCTTTCTTCCCTCATTATTAAGAGCATTGGCTTTGGCCTCAAATAGTGCAGGGTTAAATCATGGCTCTGCAATCTAGCAGCTGTGGAACTTGAAGAAAGTTAATCTTTTGTTTTTTTAATCTTCACCCAAGGATATGTTTATTGATTTTTTAGAGGCGTGGGGAGAGAGAAACATCGATATGAGAGAAACATTGATCAGTTGCCTCCCATACCTGGCCCAACCAGGAATTGGACCCACAACCTAGGTAGGTGCCTCAACCAGGAATTGAACCCACAACTTTTTGGATGATGCTGCAACCAACTGAGCCACCCAGTCAGGGCAGGAAAGTTACTTTTTTAAAAATGTGTTTTTATTGATTTTTAGAGAGAGAGAGAGGAAAGGAGAGGGATAGAGAGCTAGAAATATTGATTAGAGAGAAACATCATTGATCGTTTGCCTCCTTCCTGCATGCCCCCCTCTGGGGATCAAGCTCAAAACCCAGGCATGTGCCCTGACCAGGAATGGAATCAGTGACCTCTTGGTTCCTAGGTTGACACTCAACCACTGAGCCACACCGGCTAGGCAAGAAAGTTAATCTTAATGAATGTCAGTGTCCTCGTATGTAAAATAAGCTAATGATACCTGCAGTACAGCCTAGTTATGAGAGTTGAATTAGATGAGGTGTAAGAATTCCATGAATGTCGGTTTGTTAACATTCATTTGTAGATTATTCAGAAAGATGCTGTACCTCCCTCCCCCTAGACAGTTGGCTTAACAGAGGAGTTCTTGCTATTTGTGTTTCAGGGGGATTTCGGGACATGAGAATACCTCCATCACTTGGGAAGGAAGTTTGTCAAAAGAGTGCAGGGCTAATACAGTGATTTACAGGAGGGGGGTGGCCCTAGCTGGTTTGGCTCAGTGGATAGAGTGTTGGCCTGCGAACTGAAGGGTCCCAGGTTCGAGTCCAGTCAAGGGCACATGCCCAGGTTGCAGACCCGATCCTCAGTGGGGAGCATGCAGGAGGCAGCCAATCATTGATGTTTCTATCTCTTTCCCTCTCCCTTCCTCTCTGGAATCAATAATAAATATATTTTAAAAATAAAATAAAAATAAAGGAGGGAGGGTGGTCATCACAGCCCCACACTCTTCATCCTTTTGTTTCCTCTTTATTAACTGTATCCAGGTGTCCATGTGGAGTCTAATAATGAGCTAATCTTTTGATTTTCCAGGAAAGGTTCCATTTCAAAGTCATGTTCTATTCTTCCCCTTAAGCAATGTATTATTTGAGAGCTAGAACACGTGTCCTGATTTTTGGATCCTAATGCATGCTTAACTGAGAAGTCAATGGATTGCCCATTTTCATAATTACTTGGGGGGAAATCTTGGGCCCATTCCCATGCTTACACTAAAATAAATGCCAGATGCATGAAAATAGAGAATATGGGTATGTATGTGGATGGTGATGGCCAGTTTTTCTGATATCAATTCCAAAGATAGAAAGGAGATGAGAGATATGACGATTTTTAAAATTTTCAGGATGGCAAACAAGATAAACAAGAGACTATACAAAATGGGAAATATTCTGAGTAATATATAAAAGGCAATAACTATTCAAAAAAAGGTTTCACAAATTCCCGAGAAAAAAAGATAAACAATCAAATAGCAAAGCTATAAACCAAACTGTTACAAAAGAAACTTTAAAAGCTAATCCCTATATGAAGAGATGTTCCACTTCATTAGCATATTTTAAATGCTAACAAAAACAATGAAGTGTTTCTCTAATATACCAACATTAGCAAGAACGCAATAGACAAACTGGGCATTCATGGAGGGTGCAGTTAGTGGAATGTACAATGCAGCCCAAATGGAGGGCACCTGAGCCACGGATATCAATGCAGCAATGCCCACGTTCCGTGCAACTAGAACCCTGTGTATGTGAATTTATACCAAAGAAAGGATCGAAGCTGCATAAAAATTACATGAGTGGAAAAGATTTATTACCATCAATTTGTTTCTAAGAAACAAAACCAGGTTGACTCCATTTATGTAAAATCTCTCACACAGAGAGATGTATATGGAAAGAGGTCTGTAAGCTAGTTCCTAAATTGTGTATCTCTGGGAGATGGGATTTACTTCTCACTTTCTAGTTTTTCACTGATCATGTACTGTTTGATGGTGGGACAAGATAACAAACTTTTATTTTAAAAGGGGGCACCGCCTAAGTGTAAAAAGGGTTACTGGAGTCAGAAAACCTGGTTGTAGCTGTGTGACAATGAGCAAATGACTTTAGACCCATCAGCCTCCGGTTTCCTCAACTGTAAAATGTGGGTGTTAAGAGCATATATTCGCTTTGAAATTTAGCATCAAACAATCACTGCTTTGATTTGATTGACTTGTCTACAGCAAGCCCATTACTTCCTGGTCTGTGAGAAATCTTGCCTGCGACACCCTCTGGCGGTGCCCCTGAGAATAGCAGGGGCAGGCTCTCCACAAAAGACCTAATGCCTCCTCATGGACTTTTAACCCGTTCGGCCCAGTACAGCGAGGTCCCTGGCACTGGTCCAGAGACCTTGCAGACATGAACAACACCTCATACGTTCAATGTTCCCACTCTCCTAAACATTTAGTTGAAGATGCCCTTTGGTGTATAACCTTGGTTTAGCCAGAAAAATATTTTTGTTCTCCATATGTGATTTGGCACCTGAGTTCCTGGCTTCGTCTCACCCATACACATGTGTTCGGATTTTGGATCTAGGTGAACCCAGGAGCTTCCAGGGAACACTGGCCGGGGCTCTGAGATCCTTTCAGTAAACGGTTCCGAAGCTCGTCTGCCCCCGGGGAAGAGGAGGATGGCCTCGAAGAGCGTGTGGCTGCTCCTGCTGGTGGCCGGCACCGGCGCCCTGGGCGGTGAGTATCGGGCCCTGGGCTGGAACAGAGCCCACGGCCAGGGTTCATGCCACTCACACGGCACAGCCAGATCCATTTGCCCCCAAAATATTTAGGCACTTCAGGAAATAGATGCTAAAGGCAAAAACGAAAGACAAGGTGATGTGGTAAATAAAAATAAATGCCAGGAATTTAGAATCAAGAATTCCAACCTTGTACGATTGTGAGCCATAGTCAACTCATCAACGACATGTAGATTATAACAATTATTTTGCAAGTTTGTGAAGGGTAGAGATATGTGTTTAAAACACCTGACACCTCGCTATCAGTAAATGAGGGCTATACTCAGAACTGCCAACATTTATGCCTTGCTTTCCTACTTGACCAGATGGGGAGTTTGGGTTGGAAAGATGGATCCTACGCGGGTAACAACCGAGCATCAAGTACAAAATAACATGTCAACAAAGCGGAGGGCAGTACCCTAGAATCCACCAGTGCAGAAAACGGGAAGAGTGAGCTAAAGATAAGTCTCAACAAATATCTGAAATGAAAGGAACTGCAATGTAGGCTCCATTGTTCTATTGATGAGGAAAATGCAGTCCCAAGACGGGTAGAGACATGCCCGAGGTCTCTCAGTAAGGTTAGGGGGTGCTCTGGCTCAGTCCTGAGTGCTCTCGCCATTCCCTATGGCCCCGCTGGGCATTGTATGTGGGGGGGGGGGGGGCGGGGTAAGTGAGGAAACCATGCCCCCTGCCCACTTCTGTTGAGAAAAGGGCCTCTTGTATACAACCCGGCTCTTCACCCAGAGGGGACAACCTTGGCTGGAGGGGGGATTGGAAGGAAACACAGAGAGAAGCAGGGCTCTTTGGCATCATGTTGGTGGCCATGGCTGATGTCTGTGGTCCAGCCACCAGCTGTCCCAACCACCCATGGCTGCTCAGGACCCAGGGCACTCAGACACCGCTGAACCGTGCCAGCATGTGTAAGTCTCAGAGGTCCCTGCTGCAGAGCCGCCTCCCATGCCATTTCTAACCAACTAACCAGTAGTTCCTGTTGCTCTGGTTCTGGCTTCCCTGAGGCAGCTTGAAATTTGCCCACACTCTATGCTGAGACGTGAGAAACAAGCCCCCACTCAAGGGTTCACTGAACCTCTCTGGTTCCTCCCTTAGAGAAGGTAAAGGCAGAACACTCACCCCCGGCCCATCCATTCCTTTTTTACAGCTCTCCCTCCCAGCCCTACAAAGACTTTCTCCTGATTCTACTGTCTTAGGGGAAGGGGGTTTTCACAACACATCCTGTTATTCTTTGCATTATGGCTTGTGGAAGGAGTCTAATCCTGCATTTAAGGGGAGTGTGGGAATGAGAAGGGCATTTTCTCTCTCAGGGAGACTTGATGGTCAAGAGCAGGGGTCCTCAAACTTTTTAAACAGGGGGCCAGTTCACTGTCCCTCAGACCGTTGGAGGGCCGGACTATAGTTTAAAAAAAAACTATGAACAAATTCCTATGCACACTGCACATATCTTATTTTGAAGTAAAAAAACAAAACGGGAACAAATACAATATTTGTATTTGCATGTGGCCCGCGGGCCGTAGTTTGAGGACCCCTGGTCAAGAGCATCACCCTGTGGCCTCAGCAGTGATTTCTTTGTCCCGGCCCTCAGCTGCCTTTCACCTGAAACAATTCACTCAACAAGTAGGGAGACAAAAAAAGCAACATGACTGGTGGGCAATGAAAGACTTCATTCCAGTGACCATTTTCAAAAGGATTACACTGGTTATGATGATAACATGATTGATTTTAATAGCTGCAATTACTTAAGTAGCTACTATTTACTGAATAATTACTACATACCAGCTCTATGCTAATCGCTGTCCATGCAGCATCTCCTTGAATCCTCCCAACAATCTAATGAGAAAGGTACATATTGTCAGTCACTGTGCAAACACTACGCTAAAGCTAAGAGAGGTCACGGAGAGCTCCCGAGGCCACAGCTCGCAGCGGTGGAGTAAACAGGCTGTTGCATCCAGGCGACACGCCAGCGGCTGAAGGCTCCCGCCACGCACGTGGTGACCAGGAGCTCTGGCACCAGGCGAGGTGGGGCTGGGGGCCGGGGCTGCTAGGAACACTCGCCCTCGCCCAGGTCCCACCTCATCTCCATCTGCGTGACGTCAACAGGCCTCTTCACCGCTTTGAGGTTTTATCTGTACAGCGGGATGGACATCTCTCTCTCGGAAGGTCTGGTGATTGAAGAAGCAATCTGACCGGTTCAGGGACGCAGCCCATTCACCAATCGCCCAACAGGGAAAGTTTGCCGCACTGGGCCACGCTTCCTTGGCTCCTGGGCCCAATCCTCCCTCTCTCCCCTTTCGCCCACGCCTGCCTGACGGACACCCTACCCTTCCTTGCCCATTCCTGCCTCCACTCCTCTGCTCACCCACGCCCTTTGCCTAATGTGGCCCCTCCCCGGGCTACTGTCTCGCAGCCCAGCTCATCTCAGTTTTCAGCCCGGCTGCCATTAGCCTGTCCTATGTCTTCCTGGACAAAAAACCACTCCCTCCTTGTCATGCCTGAAGCTACCAATGCGAGCCCTCGCCCTCTCCTGGGTGCCTCGACATATAGCTATTGGATCTCAGTACCAATGTGGGGGTTCCACCCGATGCATTTGTTGATGGGAAATAGCCATCAGATGGGGTGGGGACCCACGGGGCCCAGGGTGAGAGGGACCTGAGCCAAACTCCGCTGGTCACCTGACTCCATTGCCCCTCCGCTGGCTGGTGGAGCACAGCGACAGTGTCGGTTCAGAGTCAGCATCCAGTAATCCTCCAAGGATCCAATTTGTCCTTTCCCCAGTGCACAGCCATCCCGGTAAGAGGCCGTCGGCCCCTTGGGGAAAGGCTGGGGAGGATTCACAGTCTAGAGTCTTCGCAGCTTAGGAGAGTCCGAGCCTCCCTTCCATTCTAGGGACGCCAGGTCTGTAACGGGATCGAGGGGAAATGGATGGCTTTTGCCATCAGAACTTGTCATTGCCTTGTGCTTGCGTGCAGACATCCTCATGAGGCCCAGCTGTGCTACCGGGTGGTTTTACCACAAGTCCCATTGCTACGGATACTTCCGGAAGCTGAGGAATTGGTCCGACGCTGAGGTAAGACATGCTTGTCCAAAGCCGGGGGCCACCCTGGGCTCCAGACCTCCTTTGACTCCGAATCAAGGGTCCTTGCTGGGCATCCCGAGAAGTCACCTGGCTGGTGACATGGAGAGAAGAGGGCTCAGCCCATGTTTCAAGCATTGATGGAGCGGGCAGTCTCTGCCCGGACCCTCAGTGGGCTGCGAAGATGTGAGAATGAACAGGACACAGCCCCTGCCCTCTGAGAGTTCACTGTCAGTAAGAGAGACAGAACTGTGTGAGTCAGAGGAGGACGAGAAGCTGAGAAGTTACAGAAAGAGCAATTGCATTGCAGTAGGAGAGCTGCCAGGAAGAGCGGGGGTGTGGCCAGGCCTGGAGCTCGGGCCTCAGACCCTGACAGACCGTGAGGCAGAGGATGGAGAGCTTAGTGGTCCTCACGGCCTGACAAATACATCAGCTCAGTTCAAACCCCTTGTTTGTGTATATATATATATATATATATATATATATATATATATATATTTTAAACTATCATTCACATCAGTTCATTCACATCACCTCACTTTACCAGTTTTCTTGCTATAAAATGGAGGTAATGCGTTGACCCCCGGGGGCTGTCAGGGGGACTTATTAAAGCAAGTTGCCAAAAGCCGGTGGCACATGGTAGATACTCAGTTCAGGTTTTCAAGGCAAAAAAACGAGTCCACAGGATCGAGACCGAGCCTTGGCAGTTAGCACTGGAGGCCAGAGGAGGTTCTGGACACCGCGGTCCCTGCTGTTCTTGGCTCCCTGCCAGTGCTGATGGCCAATCTTAGTGCCCGAGGCTCCTGGAAGCCATCCAGGGGACAGACGCGGAGAATGACAGGGAGAGCCCATCTCGGCTGCAGAGGCGGAGGGAGGTCTGAGTTCCAGCTTCGCCGCCACCAGTTGTGTGAGCTTGGAGGGAAAATATCGCTTAAACACTCCCAGCCCGTTTCCTCTCCGCCCCAGGAAGTTCTGTGCCTGGTGCACCCACTACATGTTGGACTGGTAATCTGGCCTCCATGCCTCACACATTTGAAAGTCAAGTGCAACTCCCAGTAAAAAAGCAGTTAGGAGCTGTAGAGTGGGTGGCGAGTGTGAGGACTGAGCTATCATTACACAGGGACCACACCTCACCCCAAGCAAGAGCCTGAAGGCAAGCACTGGAGTAGCAACCACAGCCAATCCATGTTTTTATTACATTAAAGTTCTATCCTGTAGGCAGATCCCGTAACACAGCCCCCCAGAAGCGTAAAATAAAGTGTATATCTCTATCGATAAAATGCGTATAAAGTGTTTGCTTTGTTTCATTGGACAGTAAGTTTCAGCACATTTTATCATCAGTGGTTTCTTAGATTTGTTTGGGAGGAAGTATTATAAAACGTAATTATGACAAACGTGTCCTCCTGACAACTCCCTGGGTCGCGGTAATCATTTTCTCCGTTTCCAGATAATGAAACTAAGTGAGCTCAGAGAGGTGCAGTGACTTGTCCAGGTCACATGCACTAATGAGAGGCAAGACCAGGACCCCAGGCACTTCCACGGACCCTACAGCCCGGGCCCCTGCCTGGAGCTGCCTCGTCCTCTGAGCCCCGGCACTTGTCCCCTCCCTGGGTGACAGGAAGGCCAGGACGCCTTCTGTGGGGTTTAGATGACGACTTCCGGAGGCGGTGGGGTTGTGAGAGTCCCCACTGCGTGGCACAGGCGAGGGCCGTGCTTTTAAACCTCGAGGCATCACCGCGACTTCTCCTTGCCCACAGCTCGAGTGTCAGTCCTTTGGGAACGGAGCCCACCTGGCGTCTATACAGAACCTCCAGGAAGCCAAAGCCATCTCCGGGTACATAAGTGGCTACCAAAGGAACCTGCCCGTGTGGATCGGCCTGCACGACCCGCAGAAGGTAAGCTCGGACGTGGCCCACAGAGGCCCACAGAGGCCCACAGAGGCCCACAGAGGCCCTGTGGGAAAGCCAGAGAGCTAGCCCCTCTCCGGAACTCGCCGCCAGGCGCCCTGGCAGGGGGCACACAGAGCGAAGCTTCAGTCACGTGCCTCCAACTGAGAGGGGCCAAAGCCTCCAGGTCAGGGTCCAGTTCTAAGTAAAGTCCTCCCCAATCTTAGAACGCAAAATTACCAGCTTTTCAAAAAAAAAAAAATGTTTGTGCAAACACACACACACACACATACACACACCTGGTATGGCACCCAGCTTAATTAAATCTCCATTGGATCTTGGCTTAAAGTTGGAAACTTTTAGCTAAGCTTTCTCCTAGATGCCATTACGTTTTTTCAATTTTTATATTTTATTGAGGAGAGAGAGATTTGTTGTTCCACTTATCTGTGCATTCATTGGTTGTGTCTTGTACGTTCCCTGACCAGAGATGGTACTGACCCCCTTGGCGTACCAGAACAGTGCTCTAGCCAACTGAGCTACTGGCCAGAGCCGATGCTCTTATGCTTTTGATGATTCCTTAACCTTTTGCACTAGACCCTCATTTTCCTCTCCGTCAACACCTCATTGTAAGGAGCGGCCTGTGAGGTCTTCGGGTGGAGGTCTCTGTGGGATCTGCCGTGAGCAGGTTCTTCGTGGGGCGTCTATAGTCAACCCAGACAAACGTAAGGAACACGGGAGCGAACACCCAGACAGTTCCTTGATAAAACTTTCCCACCGATGTTACACATATTCTTTACAATCCATTTTCCATTTTTATGTATTCACACTGCTACCAACCAGAGCTCTCATCCAGAGGTAAAATATTTACATCTATTTCCACCAGATAGGTTTTGTTATTCATTTTTATACATTTGTGACTAAAGAAAGGAAGTGGCGAATGAACGTTCTAGAAAGTATGTGATGTCTCTAGTTATCAAAGAAATGCAAATTAAAGGGACATAACTTGACTTATTGTTCTATCAAACTTTTGTTTTGTCTTAATCAATAATATTTTTTTCAATATTTTTAAGGATATGCCTAATTGCCCACTGGATGGGGATGTAAATTCCTCCAAATGAATCATTTTGGACAGGAGTTGGCCATGAATATCAATCCCCTCGAACGATTCATGCCCTTTGGCCATTCATTCTATTTCTGGGATTCTATTCCAAGAAAATAATTTTAAGTATAGAGACAGCTTTATGAACAAAGTTATAGCAGTATTATTTGTAATAATTGTAAATTGAAAACAATATAAACTTCAATCATTAGGGGAATTATTCAGGTAAATTATGGTACAGACTTACCATTAAAAAATGTTTCGGAAGCAAGATACGGAGTTGGGTGTATATTTTAAAGATCACCCTGTTTTTTAGTTCACAAGCATATTGTGATAGATAAAAATGTTTACACCAGAAATGAATTACTAAGAGATGAGTAATGTTTACAGAGCGACTTTCAATGTTTCCTTTTTCACACATTCCTGTGCTTTCCCACGTTTTAAAATAAAAACTGCATTTTTCACCCAGCCAGGTGGCTCAGTGGTTGAGTGTTGACCTATGAACCAGGAGGTCACTGGTTTGATTCCGGTCAGGGGCACATGCCTGGGTTGCCGGGCTCGATCCCCAGTGGGGGACGTGCAGGAGGCAGCTGATCAATGATTCTCTCTCATCATTGATGTTTTATACCTCTCTCTCCCTCTGCCTTCCTCTCTGAAATCAATAAAAATATATTTAAAACTAAAAACAAGAAACAACAACTGCTTTTTAGCGGGGCCCGAGGGCTGTGAGAGGTGGAGACTGACCTCTGCATGCCCTCTGTCTCCTGTCACTCGCAGAGGCAGCAGTGGCGGTGGATCGACGGGACCTCGTATTTATTCAAAACCTGGTCCGGCAGGTCCATGGCTGGAAACAAGCACTGTGCTGAGATGAACGCCCACAGTGAGTTCTAAGGCTTCGCCCTCCCCTCCCCCTTATCTCTGGTTCCAAGCAAAGCAGCCAGAAAACGCTGCTCAGCTCAGCACGGAGCCGCACCCATTTACATGGCTGTTCATTCTCTTACAGACTTTTTAACTTGGAACAGCAAGGAATGCGACAAGCGCCAGCACTTCCTCTGCAAGTACCGGCCGTAGAGCAGGAATGGGGTCCCGCACCCCGGCCCAAACCCCTCCCCCCTTCTTGCCCTGCCACGGTGTCTATGTCTGATCATTGCCTCAGGAAGTAAACGTGGTAACCAAGCTGGTGAGGTTCTTATTGCACTGCTTTTATCGGGTTAGAGGCAGAGCCCTCAACATCGATACAACAACGGCTTCTAGCTCTAAATGCTCACCCCACAATCGCTGTCCATTACACTCGTCTTTCCTCCTCCCCGCCTCCACATGTCTCATGCAGACTAGGAGTGCACATCCGTCCTGATGAAAGAGCTGGGTGTCTGGCCACCAGGGAGACAGGTTTGAAGACGGGAGGAATCGCTAGTGAGCTTTGGGTTACAACTGACAGCTGGACTGTCTCAAGCAAAAAAGAAAAAGTATTGGTTATGTCACTCCACCGTCCACAGGCAGATCTGGGCTTCAGGCATCGCTTGACCAAGGGCTCCACAAAGCCCCCAGGATGGGGCTTTCTCTCCGTACCCTTTGACCTTGTTTTGCTGAGAATAAACTTTTGTTATTCCACCCCATCTAGTTGCACGGTTGGCTACAGCAGCTCCGACCCTCACCTTGTCAGGAAAGAGAGCCACAGCCCTCAAACAAAAGCCTCCAAATTACAGCCTCTTTGGCCAAGAATCTCGAGTCACATGCTCCCTCTTAACCGATCACTATGGCCAGAAGGAGGGAATAGGATGGTTAACTTCGCTCAGGTGTATCGCAGGTAGCTCTCTGGAGCCCAGGGGTGTAGTCCCTTCCCACAAAGGCCTCTGCTGCAGATAGGGTTCCTGTGTAGGAGGCATGCCCCTCTGGGAAGGCACAGCCCATGGGCCGCAGGACCAGAGCAGGCTGCCCCCTTAGCTGTGTACTTGGGGCAGTGCACCTGCTCACGGCCCTCCTGTGGCCCTGCTGGCTGAGAGCGGGTGAGGTGTTCTCTGCCTGGGGGCCAGGGGCCATCCTTTGGGGAACTCTGTCCTGAGGCCCCACAGCAGGACTTTAGACTCAAGTGTCTGAACCGAGACTGGAGAGGCACCTGATGCCAAAAAGAAAGCAACCAGGTAGATACTGTTTCCCTAAGGTGTGCTCACGGGCATAAAACTCCAGCCACCGCCTAAGGCAGTTTGTTATACTGAGAAGAGCAAAAGGCTTTGGAATTAGGCCGCTCTGGATCTGAGCAACTGCCTCCAACTGGCTGTAGAAGATGGAGCCTGATGTCTCTGAGCCTCTGTCTTTTTTCTTGGGAATCTAAGGGTTAAGTTGGTAGAAACAGGTAGAGTTTGGAATGGGGCCTGACATACGTGCTTAACAAATGCAGCTGTCCTCTCTGAGAGTCACACGAGCTGCCATAATAGCTGCTTACGACCGTGACACAAGCTGACACCCTCCACTGAGGGGTAGGAGGACAGCAGCACAGGAGAAACCTGGGCTCCAGGAAACTCTGTGCATGTGTCTGCTGGCCCGTGCGGGAGCCCACGGGAGGCAATACCGACAGGATGGTGAGGGAGGTGCGTTCCAAGCTCTAATTCAAAAATCTAGCACACGTTTCCATCAGACTTACTCCATGTGAAGTCATCATAGTCACTGCATGGATGAAGGCAAAGGAGAGTAAGCTGAGGGCATAAAGATTAAGCCAGAAATCACACAGATGAAAATCTTTGTGATCTTGGGTTAGATGTCATAGGACACAAAAAGCCAAAACCACAGAAGAAAAAAAAATCATAAGTTATCGTCAACATTAAAAGCGTTTGCTCTTAAAATATACTGCTGAAAAGCTAAAAGACATGTCATGAAATGGGAGAAAAATATTTGTACAACATAGATCTGAGAAAGGACTTGCAATTCAATAAGAAGGCAACTTGATTATTTTTTAAATGGGCAAAAGAAGTGAACAGACACTTCACCAAAAAATACACACAAATAGCCAATAAGCACATGAGTAGATATTCAACCTCACTAGTCACGAGAGCACTGCTAATTAAAAACAAATGTGGTTATCCCAGGAATGCAGGATTCAACACAAGAAAATCCACCAACCCGTGTACTATGTCATATTAATAGCATGAAGGAAAACCCTCACATGGTTATCTCAGTTGGCTTTGTTTTAAGCATTCGGCAAAGTCTAACTTCCTTTTATAATTAAAAACAAGCTCAGAGCCCTGGCTGGCAGGGCTCAGTTGGTTGAGCGCCATCCTGTGCACCGAAGATCTCCGGTTCATTTTTCTGACCCTGTTTACTCTGTAGGATTATTACCTGACTTTTCCTCTAGATCCTCCTCCCCATAACCAAACACAAACAAGAGGAAATTTATTCTGCCTCTGCTCTGAGCCACAAGCCAGACTATTGCACTTCACCTGCAGGCATGATGATGGTGGTGTGATGACCTAATCTTGAAGCTAGCGAAGTTGCAAGCTGCCAAGTTCCTTCCTTTAAAAAAAAGTTAATGGGCATCCTTAGAATTTGCATATATATATTTCAGAGAGGAAGGGGGAGAGAGAAACATCAGTGATGAGAGAGAATCATTAATCGGCTGCCTCCTGTACACCCCACACTGGGGATTGAGTCCGCAATCCAGGCATGTGCCCCGACCAGGAATCGAACCATGACCTCCTGGTTCATAGATCAACGCTCAACCACCGAGCTACACCAGCCGGACCCAAGTTCCTTCCTTAACAGCCCAATGATTATTTTCTTATCTCATGAAAGGCTGGCAGCATTCACACAGCAGACCCTCCCTTGATTTCCCAGGCCCAGCTAGTGCGCACCAAATGCGAGGCAGGGGTCCTGTGTAGAGGACATGGCTTGTGGGCAGTGGGAGGAAGCGTGAGGAAATCAGGTCCTCTTCAGCCTGTAGATGCCGGTTCATTTCCTCACGCCCTCCCCAGTGCACAGCGTTCATTCATTGAACACTTACCATGTCCAAGGCACTGTGTTCAGTGCCTGACATGCACTATCCCACTTCACCACCACCATAATCCAAGTGAAGAAATGGATTCTAAGAAATTCCAAACGATTAGTTCAGTGCATCCAGGTAGGATATGGCTGACTCCAAAGTCTATGTTAATGCCACTGTACTGCAAGTTGTGTAGCTATGGATATAAAATTTACGTTTCTATCATTATATAGTCTTCCGCTCCAGCTCCCTCCCTCACCCCACCTTGACAACCGTTCCTGGTTGCAGCTGTGTTTTGTAAGATGCAGGAGGTGTGCATGTTATTAAACTGGTTTGCGTTTCTCTTGTTCATCTGTCTTTTATTATAAGGAGGACTCAGCTAGGACCTAGAAGGTAAAGGGAAAATCATTTTTCCTCTTCTCGTTTCTTAGCAGTGCCTTCCAGTACGAATTCTTCCTTTCCTTTCTTAGACACACAGCATGGTTATTCTAAATTCTGGGTCTGTCTGTTTCCAGAAATTCTGTTTCCTATGGTATGTGTCCTTCAGTGTGCTGTCTTCCTTTACAGCCTTCAGAGTATTGTGATTTTGGCGCCTGCCTTCTTGTTCTCTGGGCAATGGCTACTCTCTGGTGCTGTGTGTTGGGTAAGCGCTGAAGGCCAGGCCCTGGTAGGTGTGTATTTCAGGGCAGGGCCCTCAGGGAGGAGAGCCCCAGACATTGCCTAACCCCCTGTGGACCATCCGTGTTTGCTGCCCCGTCACCAGGAGACACCCCGGATCACGGCTTCACATTTAAACCGCTAGGAAACCATGGCACCGGGAGAATATTGCTGGGCCATCCATCTGGGGGGTTGAGGATGGAGGTTTGTTACAGGGATCGTCAGAGTGTGATTGGTCAATCTGCAAGTCTGTGCATGCACTGGGCACCAGGGTAGGGCTTTTACAATGTCCCTCCTCCCTCTGCCCCCTCCAGCCATCCTCCACCCCAGGCTCCACCCCCCTTCCAGCCTCATCCCTGCCTCTGTCCCATCCCCACCTAGGGCATCCTTCGGACTCCTCAGGGATTTCTCACAGCTTTTCAAACAAAAAATGCTTCCAATTCAGGCTTTACTTTTTTTTTTCTAGTGCTTTCTGGGTTGATTTGGGAAGAAGCATTCAAACAGCCCTAGTGCCAAGTAAAAAAAAAAAAAAGGTTTGACATGATAAAAATGCTATGCAAATTCTAAGGATGCCCATTATCAACAAAATTCTGAGACCTCCAACAAAGCAGAGGCGGTTGCTTATGTAAATTGTTTGCTTTGTGGCTTATTATTTGTTATTGACATAAGAAGACTGCGAGCACAGAATGTTTTCCCAACTGTTTCAGTGTGTGCGAAGGTGAAAGCTGACAATGAATGCCAGGGTTTGCTCCTTGAGAATCACAGGCGACCATTGCCACACTGTGTCTTCCCCGGGCAAACACTGAACCCTCCCTCCGGGAGGCTGCACCTCGTCTTGCTAGCTTTGTTCCCTGCATGACATCCTAGACGCAAGGCCGCACCTGGAAGGGTGACAATGGAGAGACAGCAAAACACCCAGTCAAGTGCTCAGTGTTGTTCTTCTGAGAAATTCCGTCAGACTCCACACCCTTTCCCCTACTTTTCTCAGGACCTTTCACTTAATTAGATAACAATCTGTTACCTATAAGCCTCAGACGCCTCCCTCACAAAACTGTGGGTCTGAATGTCGCCCCAGGCAATCAGAAAAGGCAAGTCCTGCCAAGGAAGAGATTGGTTAACCACTAACCAAACCCCGGCACCGTCTGCTCTTCCCTCCCACAGCAGAATCTGCAAGTGAGCGCAGGAAAGAGGCAGATAGGGAGGTGCAGCGGTGAGAGCCCTGCCTGCTGAGGGGCCCCAGATGTGTGGTGGCCAATGCAGAGCCTACATGTTGTGTTTTTCTTCAGCCACGTTGAGCGGCTCAGATGCAGGCACACACACCTGGGTTACAGACTTGATCCCCAGTTGGGGCGACTGAGGTTTCTCTCTCACACTGATGTTTCTCTCTCTCTTCCTCTCCCTTCCTCTTTCTCTAAAGTCAATAAAAACATATCCTCAGGTGAGGATTAAAAAAAAAAGATAAGACACCCTTGCTGATACCAGCCCTTTGCCTATGTGCCAATACCCACTGGCAACTACGTAAAGGGCTACTATTAAAAGATTCATTCCTTGTGGTTTTGAAGGATTTTTTCTTATTATGCGTATTATACATTAAAATAGTAACAGCTCGCTCCACAGGGAGCGTTCTGGCCACCAAGTGGAGGGACTCAGATGGAGCCAGGCCAGGGGGCTGGTTACCTTAGGACGCGGTACCAGGAACATCAGCCCCTGCACGGCATCGGGCTGCCAGGGCCCAGGAAAGGAGGGGTGGGAGCTACCTACCCTCTCCTGCACATGCCCGGGAGCAGAACGGCTCCCTGGGAGTAGGAGGATGTTTTCCTTTGACTTGCCGCTGCTCTGAGACCTTTGGCCCAGTTTAGGCAGCCAGCTGAGCCCGATAAACAGGGGCGTGCCCTCCGGGGGCAGGAGTCTGGGGCTCTATAAAGCCGGCTGGGGCACTGCCGGGCACCTCTCCCCTGGACTGTGAACTGCTGGCTCTCTGCTCGCGCCTCTGAAAATGCAGCGGCTGCTGACTCCCGCCAAGCGGGTCTTGCAACTGAAGAGGGTGCTCCAGGGAGCACCTGCCATGCTTACCCGCCTTCTCCCCGCCGCCCACCGCAGGTGAGTCCGCGGTTTCCAGGGACTGTCCAGCTCACTCGCAGGGACGTGTCCCCGAACCAGCAGAAGGTAGGCAGAGGGCCCGCCACAAAGAAAAGGCCACAGAACCCAAGTCAGAGGTTGGCAAGGCTTGTGCACAGCCTTAGCTACGCAAGTTAACCTCTGGGGTCTGAGGTTCCTCATCTCTAAAGGGACAGCCCTTCCCAGCTGGAGTCCCAGGGTCTCGAACTCTGACTCCTGCTGTTTGTGAATGAGGGCGTCTGTCACACCCCCAGCTGCGCCAGCTGTGGCGGAATCAGCACCGGGGCCCACAGCATTCTCCCCTCCACCATACCAACCTATTTGTTGTTGTTGTTGTTAATCCTCACCCAAGAATATTTTTCCAATTGATTTTTAGAGAGAGTGGAAGGGAGAGTGAGAGAGAGAAACATTGATGTGACAGAGACACATTGATTGGTTGCTTCTGTCACACGCCTCAACCAGGGCCAGGGATTGAGCTTGCAACCAAGGTACACGCCCTTGACTGGAATCAAACCTGGACCCTTCAGCCTGCAGGTCGACGCTCTGTCCCCTGAGCCAAACCAGCGAGGGCCACCATCCCCACCTTTGCCCATAGCCCCTGCCAAGACCTTCAGGATTCTGTGCCAGCGGCAGTGTTAGCAAACCCAGCTGCTCCAAGTCACTGCAGCAAGATTCCAAAGGACCACGGGTAGCAGGTGCTTTTTTCTACCCTCCGATTGCATGGAAGGGCAAAAGGGGATGTAAAGATGTGTGTGCATGTGAGTGTGCACGTGTGTGCAATCTGCCTGTGCGCAGAAGCACCTATGCTCTCTCCTTTTCTTTGTGAACTTGCCCAGTCTGGCCCAAGTCTCCCAGCATGGATGGGAACACAGCTACAGCCAGTCCCCCAGGACCCCGGAGCCACCCTGCAGCCACCCTGCGCCCTGGCAGTAGCCCTTTCTTTCCTGCCACTTCCACACTGCATTCCCTGGGTGCTCCGGGAAACGACTTCGATCTGGTGCCTCCCCTTGCCTGGCACCCGGGGAGCCTGGGAGGATGGGAGTGTGGGGCAGGTGAGACTCTCTAGCCTTCTTCTTTTTTTTTTTTTTTTTGACTCTCCACCATCGTCCACACTCTTCCCCACCCACCCCACCGTGTACAGGTCAAATGTCCCAGCTCCGAATGTCACCTGTTTTGGTGTTTGCGAAAAAGAGACTGACGTGGGTTGGCTTGTTTCAATAAGCAGCATTTGGCTGCCCACCAAGAAGCCAACCTCAGTCCTCACCAACCTGCCCCTCCTGCTGATGTTCTTGGGCCAAGATCTTGGCATCATCGGCCACATTTCCCTTGTCGGTATATTCACGGCTAATCCCCACTTTCCGAGGGCCTGGACAGCATCGAGAATCTCTCTATGGAGTTCTTTTCCTATTAGTCTATCCCGCTAATCCAACCTGCATTGGCTCTAAAGGCAACCGAAGAGCTTCTCCCATCTCAGCATGCGCTTCGCTGCTTTTAACACCAAGGAAGACTTGTGCCCTCCACCTCGTGGTCCCGCGTGCTTTTCCTCAGGTGTCGTCTCCCTCCGCCCTTCGCTCTCCCCTCCAGGTATCCTTACCTGTTCAATCACCCCTCCCCCCATCCCCGTGGCCACTGCCCTTGACCTGGAATCGAACCTGCAACCTCCTGGTGCACAGGACGACGCCCAACCAACGGAGCCACACCGGCCAGGACTGTATGGTTTTTTGAGGAAACTGGCTAGAGACCATCAGTGGGATTTTGCTTGTTATTTCCCCTGCAGGTTTTCTACAGTCCCTGCTGTCCCCTTGGCCAAAACGGGTACTTGGCCGAAGGACGTGGGCATCCTGGCCCTGGAGGTGTATTTCCCAGCCCAGTACGTGGACCAAACAGACCTGGAGAAGTACAACAATGTGGAAGCAGGGCGGTACACGGTGGGCCTGGGCCAAACCCGCATGGGCTTCTGCTCCGTCAAGGAGGACATCAACTCCCTGTGCCTGACGGTGGTGCAGCAGCTGATGGAGCGCACGAAGCTCCCCTGGGACGCGGTGGGCCGGCTGGAAGTGGGCACCGAGACCATCATCGACAAGTCCAAGGCTGTCAAAACAGTGCTCATGGAGCTCTTCCAGGACTCGGGCAACACGGACATCGAGGGCATCGACACCACCAATGCCTGCTACGGGGGCACGGCCTCCCTCTTCAATGCGGCCAACTGGATGGAGTCCAGCTCCTGGGATGGTATGTGCTGCCAGAGGTCTGATGTAAGAAAGGCGCTGGGGTTGGAGGCTGAACACTCAGGGGTTTTTGTTTGTTTTGTTTGTTTGAAATATATTTTTATTGATTTCAGAGAGGAAGGGAGAGGGAGGGACAGAGACATCAATGATGAGAGAGCATCGTTGACCGCCTGGGAATCGAGCCCGCAACCTGGGCATGTGCCCAGACTCAGAATCAAACCATGAGCTCCAGGTTCATAGGTCGATGCTCAGTCACTGAGCCATGCCGGCCGGGCTTCTTGGTGTTTTTTTTATGAAAGTAATTGAAAATTTTACTTAAAAAAACATTACACATACACAAAAGTGTGTAGTAAAGTGATTTTTTAAAAAAAAGTTCCTTTTGGACGCCTTATTGCCACTTTCCAGAATGTAACAGTTTCTTCCAGATTTTTCTATGTACCTGCAAGTACAACTTATCTATTCAGTTTTCGTTTTTAACATTATACATATGTTATGTATAACATCTCTATGATGTCCTCGAGGTCATTCTATATCAATATACATAAGGTCTGCTTTGCTCTTTTAAACGCTACATAATATGCTATTCATCAATGTGCCAAACTTTACTGAATTAGCTCATATTGACAGATATTTAGATTGTTCCAAGTTTTGTGCAATGATCAATCCTGTTTCCATGAGTGTTGTACAAGTTCTGCATGCTTGTGATAATGTGTGGGAAGACTAGATTTCTAGACATGGAATTGCAGGATATGTTGTGTTGTGTTGGTTTAAGAGTTTAATAGAATGTGCTCAATTGCTCTTCAAAATGTTGTACTAACGTACATTTCTACAATACATACTATCAGACTTTCTAATCTTTGTCAATATTATAAGTAAAATAATAGTGTCATTGATTTGCCTTTTTTAACTTTAATATTTTTATGACATTTATTGGCCATTTCCCTATTATATTCTTTGTCTTTTTTATGAGACTTTTTATAAAAGAAGAAAAATAGCCTTTTGTTGGTTACAAGTATTGTAAATACTTCCCCAGTTTGTCTTTTGAGTTTGTTTCTGATTGAAGATTTTAATTTTTAAGTGGTCAGATTTACTCATTTTTTTTCCTTAATGGCTCCTAAATACAAATAGATGATAGATAGATGATAGATAGATAGATAGATAGATAGAGATAGAGACAAAGATATAGACATAGATATATAGATATTTTGGGGAAATAATTTTTGGTTGGGATTGGAGTTGTTATAGTTCTTAAGAGAAGGCTCTCGGATTTCGATGAATCTGGGTTGAATCCTGACTGAATCCTTATTGTACCATCTATTAACTGTGTGGCTCTGGACAGTGCTTTGGGCCCCAATGTACCCAGCCCTGGAGTAAATCCTAGGGGCTTCCTTACGGAGCAGATAGATGCTAAAATTACTACCATGTGTCCCCTGAAGCTCAAGTTTGGTGTGCTTTTTGGGGTGGGGAATGGGGAGCAGTACTATTAGATGAAAGTGGAACAAATAATAGTCAAGACAACAATTACAATAGTCTCACTATTATAGAGGTAGTAACTATGATCATGTACATTAAATGTGGTTCCTCAACATAATCCCTTTTCCCAATAAAAATACTATAATCAAGTTGTCCAGAGCACATGGCGTAGGATCCAGACAGAACTGGGCTGGAATATCCAATGCCATGTTCACCAGGTGTGAGAGCTTAGCAGGTGACTTGGTCTCTCTGGAAGGCAGTGTCTTCCCCTGTAAGTGTAGATGTTACGGCCTCATTGGATGGCTTTCAGGATTCCTTGAGGCTAACTGATGTCTAGCTAGTCTTTCAAATATTGGTTTCCCTCCCTACCCCTTGGCTTTCTATGAGAAGGAATTTCAGCCACCGAGTGCTGAAGGGGATGGGTACCAAGTTACATTACCTCCAAACGTGCCCATTAATAACTGCTCATGGAACTCAGAAACAGAATTCTGAGTGAGTGAGCTTTTAACAGCTACAGCACCTGGACACGGAGTTTTGACTTTGCATTTCAAGTGTGTCACGATGGGTTTCATAGAGCCCAGGCTCCCTGGGGCGGGGATTTTTGGTTTTGTCTGCCAGTCTATCTCCAACACCTAAAATCGTGCCTGGCACACGGGAGGTGCTCAGTCTACTGAGACTTGATGGTGATGATACTTATTTCTGGTCTCTCCTTGCAGGTCGCTATGCAATGGTGGTCTGTGGAGACATCGCAGTGTATCCCAGCGGCAACGCTCGCCCCACAGGGGGCGCCGGAGCCGTGGCGATGCTGATTGGGCCCGAGGCCCCCCTGGTCCTTGAGAGAGGTTTGTAGTAACCTGCAGGTGCATGGTACCCAAACACGGTGCACGGCACGGCCAAATGCATAGCTCCTGACCCCAAATGGGCATGGTGTACCTACTATGCAGGGCTGAGGGTGGATTTGAGGATGTCAGTTGCGGTCTAAAGGGGGATTGGGGAGCAGAGGGCAGGGAGAAAGGGATGAGAGGGATCGGGGCCGGGGGCGGTCATCTTTTGCACCATCACACGTTGGGACAGGGATGCATGGAATAAATGGGGGTGATGCTGTTAACGAGGACGTAAACTGGCAGTTGAAGATGAAAGATGATTATTGGGTGGAAAGTAAGACTTTCCTTTGAGACTTTTGGCATCTATTCCAGATTTTGTTCAGCCCAGATAGGCGTGGAAAGGCAAGCATGAATCTCACTGACGTAAGAGCAGCAACATATTCTACTGCTTTGAACACGTGAGGGACGTTGAGTGGGCCCGAGCGTGGGCCCGAGACAGACAGAGACCAGGAGGCTGTAAGAGTTCTCCCATCCTCCCTGCTCCATGCGGGCTGCTCGGTGCAGTCACTGAATCCCACTGTGTGTCTTGCCAGGGCTGCGGG